TCATTCCCACCTCCTTGACCTGCCCGTTTTCTCTCCCACCTATCCGCTCCTCCGACCTAACTGACCAATCCCCACCACTGCCTACCTGCACTCACCTATCACCATTCCACCTACCTTCCCCAGCTCCACCCCTCCTCCCTCTATTTATTTCAGAGCTCCCTTCCGCCTCCCCCATTTCTGAAGAAGGGTCCTGACCCGAGACGTCAACTTTCCTGCTCCTCTGATGCTGCCTGGCCTGCTGTGTTCATCCAGCTCCACACTGTGTTCCTCCAGCTCCACACTGTGTTATGTCATCTAGATTGTTGTCTTCAAGCCCTAGAATGGGAATCACTACCTTTTAACTCAATGGCAAGAGTGCCACCAGTGATCCTAACTGACAAATTAACATTAGGATACCTCGTGTCTCAGAATATCAAAAAAAAGCCAAATATAAAATCAAACAATGATGATTCACAAATTGGGATTGAGTTTTTGAAGAACTCCTTCTAGGTGCAGATCTGGAGACTGACAAATTCTCCGTTCACACATTAGTTCCCTGCATGAATTCTTGCAAATTTCAAGGTCACAGACAGGTGTGCCTGGAACATGAATGGCAAATCCTTTTTTATTAATATTCACGCATGGGATGTGAGTGTCACAGCAAGGCTGGCATTTATTGACCATTCCTAGTTCCACAGGAGGACATATTGAGGTGTCTCCTTGAGTGACTTCAGACCACCTGCAGTGCTATGAGAGTGTCAGGATTTTGGCCCAGAGAAGGTGAAGGAACTGTGATATGTTTCAACTCAGGATGGTGTTTAGCTTGAAGGGGAACTTGCCTGTGGTTTTCCCACACATCCGCTGCCATGCACTTTCTAGGTGATAGAAGTTGTAGGTTTGAAAAGTGCTGCCAAAAGGACATTGCCTCAAGAAAATCATAATGGGTCTCCATGTTCGAGTATTACATTGTGAATGCTCAAGAAGTCCAAACTGGCAAAGTGCAAGGATGATGGGCAGGTGGGATATAGAACTGAAGGATATGAAAGAGACAGTAAGGGCCAGAGGCATGGAATGATTTTGAAAAATGGATGAGAATATTAACCTTGAGAATTAGTTGACCCAGAACTAATGCAAATCAGTAACCTGAGAGGAAATTGGTGAGGGGAATCTGGTGTAAGTTGGAAAATGAACAGCATTTGAGTGATAACAAGGTGTAGAGCTGAATGAACACAGCAGGCTAAGCAGCATCAGAGGAGCAGGAAAGCTGACATTTCGGGTCTGGACCCTTCTTCAGAAAATAACCATTTTAATAACCATAATAATCATTTTCTGAAGAAGGGTCCAGACCTGAAACATCAGCCTTCCTGCTCCTCTGATGCTGCTTGGCCTGCTGTGTTCATCCAGCTCTAACCTCGTTATCTCAAATTCTCCAGCATTGGCAGTTCCGACTATCTCTGTAACAGCATTTGAGTGATCTTGAGTTTAAAGAGGGAAACATCTGAGAGATTGACCATTTGACATGAGACTAATCAAGGCTAGAGTTAACAGAAACCATTCTGTAGTTCAGCAGTTCAGTAGGACATAAGATGATAAGGGTAAAAAACATTTGACATAAGGGCGGTGATCTTACTGATGGCGCATGCGTGTGTTAAGACGTTAATCTCGGTACCGAACATAACACCAAGTTTACGGTCAGTCTGGTTCAGCCTCAGAACATTGGTACACACAAGGTTGGTGTGTTGTCTCTCCTTTGTAGGTTGCCAACCTCCAGAAGAAGGTCATGGATGTGGAAAATGCGTTCAAAGCTCACGAGAAAGAGCTCCTTAAACAGCTGGATGATTGCCGTGTGAATGAGAAGAAATTTCAAGAAAACAGTCGTAATCTGGAAATGAAACTGCAACGTGCCAAGGGGGAAGCAGATGAGTTAACACTAAAAGTCAGTGCCATGGAAGGCCGTGTAACAGGTCTAGAAACAGAACTGGCCAAAGTAGAGTCTGCCAAAAAGGATATGGAGTGCAAGTTGGGCAGTTTGTACTCCACACTACGCAGAACTTTGGGAATTGGCCGATCTGGACGCACAGCCAGTCCAGGATTTTCCAGCCGTAGCCCTTCTCCACGGAGACCCCTCTCTCCCACCAAAGGTACGCAAATTGGAGTTAGCCATATTTCAACGTATTCCATTCCATCTTCCTGTATTTATTGCTTGGTCCCTGCAAACTGTGTGGTTATTTTCAAATGTATCTTAGTTTAACCTGTTCTAGCACAGGGATTATTTCCAGTTCCCACTTCACATTAGCAAGTTAATATTATCCTCCTGAGATCCTGTCACCTTTCTCAAAGATTCTGGTAGTTTTTGTGCTAACCATAATTGGATCTTAAACCTCATGATGATCTGGTCTCTCACATTTAGCTGCTCTACCTGGGCTGTTTTAGGCCTCAGACAGCTGCCTCCCAGGTTGAAGGCTGGCTAAGATACTTCTTCAGCAAGGAGTCCCATAGACATTGTTTCCCTTTCTACTGTTTAGGCCTTGTTTGTTCTGATTCTGAAGTGGATAACAAAAGTACCCAGAACAAAAACCTTGCTATTCAAATTTCTAACGCTGTAGCTATAACCTCAACTTAATGCAACCAGTCCTTTTTCATCTTCGAACTCCAATAATGTTGAGTCAGTCTGCATTTATTGAGTCAGTCTGTATTTATTGAGTCAGTCTGTATTTATTGAGTCAGTCTGTATTTATTGTCAGCATCAATCTCTATACAGCATGTATTCTGGAATGTAGGAAGGAACTTGAAGAGGATTAGAGAGATGAGTAAGGACAGCAAAATTATCGTTCCACTGAAAGTGCACATTGAGCTGTCTAATCACAATAGCTTTACTTGGTTGCCGGAGACTAATTTTACCCATTTTCATTAGAGAGTATCTGTTTGTTAATCCCCAGGTTTTGACAACACTTACACCACTACCACAGATGGACGGGGCAGTCCAATCCCACGAACTGGATCTCCGGATCGGAGTCACACGGACTGTCCTTACCGCTCTGTGTCACCTACCCGTGCTGAACCATACATGGCTGACATCGATCCTGAAATCGTTAAAAGTGCCCTGCAAGATTTCCTGCAGGAACTTCACGACACGCAGAGGCACAGGGTCAAGTATCTTAGAATTCCATGCTGTAGATATTTGTAATCATCTCCTTTTGTTTATGGTCTCATGAAGAATTCATTTGTATTGTCTCAAAAGACAAAAGTGAGATAAAGAAGTGACGAGGCTTGGGGAAGGAATTATAGAGCTCTGAGCTTAGACAGCTGAAGACAGGCCACTAATGGTGGAGGACTGAAATCAGAGATGTTCAATTGACTAGAATTGAATGGATGCAGATATCTCAGAGGTTTGTGGGATTTGACAGGATTTCAGGAGTAAGGAGAGTCAAGACCATGGAAGGCTTTGAGGCAAGAGTGAGAGTTTTAAGATCGAGATGACAATGATCCCATCGAAGAACAGGAGTTGGTGTGAGTTAAGACACAGAGTTTTGGATGTTCTCAAATTTATGCTGATTGGTTGACGGAGGAATGTTATTCAGGATACCAGGAAGAGCTCCACGCTCTTCTTTGCAGAGTAACATGAGACATTTTGTGTATCACTGGAAAAGGCACACCGTAGCCTTGTTTTAATGTCTTATCAGAAAAACAAATACATGTAACAACACAGTAACATCCTCACAAGTGCACTGGACTGTACAGCCCAGATTATGTGGTGAACTTCTTTGGTAGTGTATCAATCTGCAACCTTCAGATTCTGGGGTAAGAGCCCTATGAATGCAGCACAGTTAAATTACCCAATAAAAAAAACAGAATTGTTCTGCACACACAGAGGAACAGAATTCTGACATTTCCCTAACATAATATTTCAATGACATTTGTCATAGCAACAGCTCAGTAATTAAACCTTGGGGTTCAGCAGAGTCTTGCCTACCTTGTGCCAGTGTGTGCAGTCAGTCTCTGCACATCCAATACCAGCAATACATCGGTGGAAGAGAAGGCTTTAAGAACTGGTTATTTGCTTCCCCCTTAGGATGAAACTTGCCATCAGCTGGCAGCCCTGGCACGGCAGCTGGCAGAGATGGAAACAGACCGTGAGCGGACCAGCGCACGTGTTCTGCATCTTCAGAAATCCTTCACCGAGGCAGAAGAAGGTTAGTCAAGTGATCAGTGCAGTGGGAACGCTAACTGGTTGGAAGATGTCAGAATGTATGTTGGAACCCGAGTGCATTTTGTCACAGAGAGCTGGTGTGCAAGGCAGTGCTCATGGTCCTTCCCATGCACTAACCTGGCCCTCTCAGCTGTGCCTTTTGAAGTGTGCCTCACCAAAGGACAGTTCCTACTGAAAGGGTCGCTGAGAAATTCAGAGGTCATGGGCATCTCTGTCTGGCATGCTCAAAGGGCTGTACTGGTAACGTTTGCAGAGACCTGTCTATGTGTTTCTGTGTGTGTGTGTGTGTGTGAGAGAGACAGAGAGAGTCTGTGTGTGTGTGTGTGTGTGTCTGTGTGTGTGTCTGTGTGTGTGTGTGCATGCGCGTACACCTGCCTGTGTGTGTCAGTATATATGTGTACATATGTATCTGTTTGTGTGTCTGTGCGTGTGTGCGTGTGTGTGTGTGTATGTGAAAACACTCATGTGTTTCTTTGTGTTTTTATTTCCCAATTAATTGCTGCTGGGTGACTTTGAGACTTGCTGTCAACGATGACTTAATAAAAGCAAAATATTGCAGATGTAGGAAATTTGAAATAAAAACAGAAAATGTTGGTGAAACTCAGCACATCTGTAGTTCTCAGAGGTTCTGAAGAAGAGCTATATTGGACCTGAAACATTAGCTCTGTTTCTCTAATACACAGATGTTGCCAGTGAGTTCCTCCAGCATTCTCTGCTTTTATTTCAGATTTCCAGCATCTGCTGTATTTTGCTTTTATTTGCAGGGGGTGTGTGAAGTTTGAACAACTTTCCAATCAGTTTAGGAGCTAGAGTGCAGACACTGCGATGCATCAGGAAGGGGGAAAGTTTCCTGGATTTTTTTTTGATAGCAGGAGGCAGTCACACCTCTTGGGATCGGGTCTTCTGATACGGCTAGTGTTCACGGACAGGGAGGTGGGACTGAGGATGGGACAGGTAAGGCGACACAGAGGACAGGAGAGTTAGCCTCGGCAGTTGTCCAATGGGTTTGAGGTTCTGTCAGCCTGAGAATAATTCTCTCTCATGACATAAGAATAATAATACATAATGGAATAAATATTCTCTCTCAGATTGAGAGTGGAGGTTGGGGAGGGATGATGAGCAATCTATGTCCCCCTAGGATAGAAAACAATTCAGGTTGAAGGGTCAGTGAGGAATGTTGTCGTTGCAGGAGCTGTGATAGTTAGTTTGTAAGAGGGATTAACACTGCTCTCCAGTCTGGTGCTGGGGTTCTGGATGTTTGCTCAGGACTGGTAAGGAACCTGTAGTGGGGATGCAATGGCCTAGTAGTATTATCATTAGACTCAGCTAATGTTCTGGGGACCCAGGTTCAAATCCCACCATGGCAGATGGTGGAATTGAATTCAATAAATATTCTGGAGTTAAGAATCTAATGATGACCATAAATCCCTTGTCAATCGTCGGGAACAACCCATCTGGTTCACTAATGTCCTTTAGGGAAGGAAACTGCCATCCTTACCTGGTCTGGCCTACATGTGACTCCAGACCCACAGCAATAAGGTTGATTCTTAACTGCCCTTAAGGCAATTAGGGATGGGCAATAAATGCTGCCTGGCCAGCAACGCCATCATCCAGTGGATGAATAAAGAGGATAAACCAGTTAAAGTGGTCCATGCAGGATTCATGGCTACATAGGCAAAACTAGGAAAGGCATTCTCCATAGGCCATTTGAGGAAGTAGGCACTAGACCAAAAAGCAGAACCTTAAAGGTTACAATCTCAAGCATCATGGAACATACCATTAGGAAGAGGGTCTTCGGCCCATCGAGTCTACACCAACTACTCTAAATCTACATAGTCCCACTTTTCAGCACTTGGTCCGCAACCTTGAATGTTAAGACAGTTCAAGTTGCTCATCGGAGTACTTTTTAAAAGTTGTGCAGTTTCCCACTTCAACTACCCTCCCAGATACAGCATCCTAGATCCCCACCACCCTCTGATTGAAAACCCTCTTCCTCAACTCCCCTCTCAATCTCCTGCCTTTCACCTTAAAATTATGGCTGCCTTTGACTAATGAAGCAGCTTGTTTTTCCCAAGGCCAACACAAGATTTTATTTTTAATTCAACCCAGCGCAGCAATTTAAATTCTTTACAAGTTTTTTTTTCTTCCTAGAGGAAGGTAAATTGTAATCATGAGGGAAATGTCACAAAGCGAACGAATGGAGCTGGAGCCTGAGAAGTTTCTGTGTCCAGACAAACTTCAGCCTGGGGTCTCAAGTGTTGGTTAATGAGCCAGTAAATACATTGGTGCTCATTTTCCAAAATTACCTCAATTCAGGAAAGGTTCTAACTGACTGAAAAGTCACAAATTTAATGCCTCTATGTAAGAAGGGAGGGAAGCAGAATGCGGGAAGCTACAGTCAGTTATCTTGTTGTTTGTTGTGGGTAGGTGTCAGAATCAAGCAATAATGAGATTATAGCTGCACTCTTAGAAAAACGCAAGGCAATTGGAAAGAATTGACATGCTTTTGTCAAAGGGAAGTGACGTTCGACCAATTTTATTGGAGTTCTTTGAAGATGAAACAGGCGTTGTGGATAAAGGGGAGCATGTTGAAATAGTTAACTTGGATTTTTAGAAGGTGGATCTTATTGACTATGAGATCCTTGATTGGGGTTGTTAACCTGGGCCATTCAGGGAGTCCTGGCTGAAAGATAGAAATAAACAGGGGATTCAGGGACTGACTCCAAGCTGTCTGGTCACAGCCAGTGTACTGCGTTAATATAGATAAAGGGTGACTTGGCGACAGGATACTGGCCTCTGTGCAGCTATTCGGAAGGCATTTGATGACGAGCTGCAATAAAGCTCATTCTATAAAATAAAACACCATGGTGTAACAGGTAACATACTAGTGTGGATAGGAGATTCCTGGGGCTGCCAGAAAAAGCGAGTATGCATGAAGGAATCTTTGTCTGATTGTCTGAATGTGACAGGTGGAGTTCTGCAGGGATTTGTTTGCATCCCCAATTATTTACAAATTACGTCAATAACTTAGATGAAGGAAGCAAAGGCACAGCAGCTGAATTCACAGATGATACCTCGCTATAGGTAGGAGGCATGTTGTGAGGACAGCCTAAGGCTGCATATCAAACAGAGAGGGTGAGCGACTGGCGAAAGAATCTGGCAGATGAAATAAAATGTGGGAAAATATGAAGTTGCTCATTTTAGAAGGAAGAATATAAAAGCAGTGTATTACTTAAATGGAAAATGACTGGAGAATTCTGAGGTGCAGAGAGATTTAGATGTTCTGGTGTATGGTTCCCAAGAGTTTAGTTTGTAGGGTTACAAACAGATACAACATTTAGAACATAGAACATAGAACATAGAACATTACAGCGCAGTACAGGCCCTTCGGCCCTCGATGTTGCGCCGACCTGTGAAACCAATCTGAAGCCCATCTAACCTAAACTATTCGATTATCATCCATATGTTTATCCAATGACCATTTAAATGCCCTTAAAGTTGGCGAGTCTACTACTTTTGCAGGCAGGGCATTCCATGTTTTATTCAAGATTGATGGATTGCTGTCCTTTATTATGAGAGGAATTGAACAGGAAAGTAAGGATGTTATGCTTCAGTTACACAGGGTATTGGCGAGAATACATCTTGACCACTTGTGTAGTTTTGCTCCCCTTATTAAAGGAGGATGCTAATTGCATTGAAGGTAGTTCAAAGAAGGTTTTACTAGATTGATACTGGGAACAAATGTGTCCTCTCAAGTTGGACAGACATATTTTTAATTTCGTTATGTTGTTTCAAAGGGAAGCGAGGATTGGATGGGCGGTTGAGTCAGGCTCAAGCTACACTCATGCTGCAAGAAGAGACTATAAGACGTGGAGAAAGAGAAAAGAAGGCCCTGGCTGAACAGGTGGTCACGTTGGAATGGAGCCTGCAGTCATCCGAGGGCGAAAGGCGAGCGCATCAGGTAATCGCACCTGATGGGAACATTGGTCAAAAGTGGTCACCTGTGCCCAGTGCAGATTTTAAGCATCGGGCTAAAAAAAAACCAGAATTCACATCCTGGGCTGTCCCTCCACTTTTCACAAAAGCAGTCAACTTTTTATCACAATCATTGAAGGTTGTCAGTATGGACCATTTAACTATTGACACATTGACACTGGTGAGGCCACGTCTGGATTAATGCGCACAGTTTTGGCCTCCTTGTTTAAGAAAGGATATAAATGCACTAGGAGCAGTTCACAGAAAGTGCACTCGATTGATACTTGGGAAGAGAGGGATGTTTAATGTTGAAAAGTTAGATAAGATGGGTCTGTATTCATTGGAGTTTAGCAGAATGGGAATTGATTGTATTTAGCATGTAAGGTCCTTCCCCTTGTGAGAGAGACCAGATTGAGGGGTTCACCATTTAAAAATAAGAGGTCGTCACTTAAGATGGAATTGAGGAGAACTTTCTTTTCTGTGGAGTGTGTGAAACGTTCTTCCCCTGAGAGCAGTGGGGGCAAGGCTACTGAATATTTTCATGGCAGAAATAGGTAGATTGGCTGAGGTTATTGTGCGTAAGTGGAAATGTGGGACTGAAGCCACAGTCAGATTAGCCATGATTCTGTCAAAAGATAGAGCAAGCAAGTGGGACTGAATGGCCTACTCCTGCATATAATTTGTCAGTTCATTGGATCTGTTGATTCAAGAATGTTGATAAGCATGAAGAAGTCAAATAAGAAGCTATAAGCTCCGCTTTTAGGAGAGAAAGAAGGAGGTGGCATATCAAATGGGGGAGAGAAGATGCCTTTTAATGTACACAATTATGGTGATGACAATGCTGGTGTTTGAAATGATGTCAACCCAATTGGGGTACAAATGTCATTCCTAGGAGCTTTTAAGTGCTTTTAACATTTGTCAACTCTAGGAGAAGATCAATAAGATGAAGGCAAATGAGACAAAGCTGGAAGCTGACAAACGCAAGCTGAAGGACCTGCTGGAAGTGTCTGAGAATCGTATTACCAAGTTGGAGCTCTCATGGCGTTCCTTAGAGGGGGAAATGCAGAGAATGCAGTTGACACTGAATGACCGCGAGACAGAGGTCCACGTTCTTCAGGACCGGGTAGAGATGCTCCAGCGGCAAGTGGCTGATAGTGAGACAAAGGCCACCGCCCTCCAGCTAACCCTCGACCGACTGTCGATGACCCTGGCCAAGACCGAGGAGGGTGAGAGCCACCTGAAGGACAAGGTGCAGAGTCTGTCGCTGTCTCTCTCAGACACGACCGCCAGTGCAGCGGTGCTACAGGAGCAGATTTCTAAACTTCAGAAGGCTCTAACCTCCAGTGAACAGGATCGACGGCTACTTCAGGTAAAGGCTAATCCATTGCTCTGTAAAGTGTGAGGTTATAATGTGACCATAATCCCTCTCAGCATCCTAAATTTCCACTTTTTTGTTGCATCTAGACATGATCATTCCATACTGCCCTGGCTGCCTATCATCTGTTGCTCCTCAACCCGAAATTGCAACTCATTGCTGCCTGTATCCTGACTTGTGTCAGCTCTGTGCAGTCATTGTACCTGTCAGTGCTGACCCATATAGGCTCCCAGTCCAGCTATGCCTCAATTTCAAAATCGCTGACCTTGTGTTTCATTTCCTCCCTGTCTCTATAGCCAGCTCCAGATTCTATGCCTCTCCAAGAACTCTGCATTCTTCCAATGCTGGACTCTGAGGAATTCCCAACTTTAATCATTCCATGCGGGTGCGGCTGTAGCGAGAAACTGAACAGGCTGGGGCTATTTTCCCTGGAGCGTCAACGGCTGAGGGGTGACCATATAGAGGTTTATAATATCATGAGGGGCATGGATAGGGTGAACAGCCAAGGTCTTTGTCTCAGGGTAGGGAAGTCAAAAACTATGGGGCATAGGTTTAAGGTGAGAGGGGAAAGATTTAAAAGGGAACTGATGGGCAACATGTTCATGCAGAGGGTGGTGCATGTATGGAACGAGCTGCCAGAGGAGGTGGCAGAGGCTGGTACAATTACAACATTTAAAAGGCATCTAGACGGGTAAATCAATAGAGATAACAAGGTGTAGAGCTGGATGAACACAGCAGGCCAAGCAGCATCAGAGGAGCAGGAAAGCTGACGTTTCGGGCCTAGACC